AGTTGTTTGTCCCACTTATCATTGTTGATTGTCAGCCTCACCATCCACTTGGGAAGTGGGCAGCAGCAGTGTCATTTGCTGTCTTGGATGCTGGGAATAGGGAGGGCATTGAGTCTGAAGGCATTGTCATCCTCCTTGTGAGTTACCTGTTGTAGTTTGTGTCCATGACTGCATATGAGACATTGAGTGCCCTTTCAAAATGTCTGTAGAATTCTTCAAGTGACTCATCCTTACATGGCTTGATATTGCCTGTGTTTGTGTGTGTGTGTGTGTGTGTGTGGTACTTTTAGTTTGCTTTTTCTCCTTCCTAAAAGTACCACACCCCAGGGCATGGTTTTACATACAGGCAATATCAAGCCACTTGAGGATGAAAACAAAAAGCAAACTAAAAGGACCACAGCTCAGGGCGTGGTTTTACATACTGGCAAACAGGTCAGTTACTGTGTTATGTTGAAAGTCAGCCACAGTCAGGTGAAGGTCTGGATTGAACTCTTGAAATGCATAGCTGGTTGGAGAAGGCCTTGGGCTCTAGTGGTCCACCACTCTATTGGTTGTTTTTTTTGTTACCATGGTAGTGGAAGTGATGGTTGTGCAACAGTGGTGGCATTGGAGGTCATGGCAATGGTGGAGATTGGCAGGCCAAAAGGAGTGGTGGTGGCTGCAATGACCTGGATTGGTGCTGCCACTGCAGCCACTCCTGTCCTGGTGGTGGGCACCACTGATGCCACTCTGGCAGGTGATGCAATTGCTGCAGCTGCTGCAGTGGCGGTGGTGGTGATGGTGGTGATGGTGGTTGGGTGAGGTGGTGGTGGGTGGGCCAACTTGGGGATAACCCATGGGCCAGACAAGGTGGCAAATGGCAGCTGTGGATGCAGGGGCAAGGAGAGCAGCATGGGGAAACCAAAGGGTTGGGGTTGGTACTGCAGACAATGTTGAAGTGCTGCTGCCATTACTGCTGGCAAGCTTGAAGAGTGTTGGGGGTGGGGAAGCAGTAGAGCTGGTTGATGTGGGTGTGGTGGCTTTGCACATGCATGTACTCACTCACTCTCTCTCTCTCTTCTCTCTCTCTCTCTCTCTCTTGTTTGATGTGTGTGTTACAGAGCTGAAAAGACAAAAGTGACATTTCGTGCTGTTGCTCATGAAGAGGCATGTAACAGTCACATTTCATGCCAAAATGGCAACTATGGAATGTCAAATATTTTTTGCAGCCATTCATGACATTAATACATCTGATGGTGCACAGCACACATAGACACATAATTTCATGTATGCACACACACACACACGCACACACACCACACACCACACACATTTTTATTTGAGTGAGAATACAAGTTACCACACCACCCTGAGGTGTGGACTTTTTCTTTCTCAAAAGGCATAACCTCCTTCACAAGCCACACCCAAATGGTGGTTCAATCTCTATCCTTCCATCCATGCTAACCCTTGAATGACCAATATCTCTCTCTATCCATCTCTCTCTGTCCAAGGTAGAAAAGATAGAGAGTGAGAGAGAGAGACTCCGCGCTTAGCCACCTCAAATCTTCATAGCCATAAAGAAGGCCTTCAAAAACTGGGCTAGCCATTTTTTCCAGAATTTTATGATTTTTCTTGGCCTCCATGTGATTTTCCAAACATTAAAAAAAGCCTTTCTGCCACGCGGCCTTGTGTCGGAACGCCATACTCGTTGCACGTGTATAGCTACTTGTTTTGTAGCCTGATTTTTGCTCTACACGAATACAACCATATCGTGTCGCCTGCATGAGGTCGGCCTGATTTAACAAATAAATACACAAAAAATAATTCATGGAAAATCAAAGAAAAACGGAAAACTCGCTTGAACGATTTTATTGCCAAAAAACAAAGGCATATCTAGAATGATGGGCAATTATCGATCAAGATGATATATAGAAGATGTTATGAGCACCATTGAAAAGGTCAAAGAGTACCTAAACTAGACCCCTAAACCCTAAACCCTGCTGTGTTCAAAGGATCTTCTCTTGTCACTCACTCTGTGTTCACACTACCTCCATGACCAAGTTGTCAACTACCACTGATGCACAATCATTTGGATAGATCATTTGCTGAATCTGAATTGGCTGGTGAGGCTCCCCAAATTTTCACACACCTGCAGATCAATCACATAGACAGCAACCACTGGACCAGCCATTGCATCACACCAATGCTCACATCACTCAATGTTGGTGTCAGGTCATATAAAGGGATCACCAAGGCCATCCAAGGGTCATCCTTAGAGAGGATCACATTGAGGATCTGAGAACCCATTTCACAGTCAACAGGGCACTACATCTTGTCCAAGATCCTGCATAAAGCAAAGGCAGATTCAGTGACCTGCTCAGGCTGGGGTGGATCAAATGCTACACAAGAGGCTCCTCCATCTGCCTCAAGTACATCACTTTGGCCTCAAGGCAATTTCATTCCACACCCCACAACACCAGCATAAGAGTATAAACCACAATGTATTTGCTGTAGTGGGTCTCTTGCTTCTGTTGATGCTGTGGGTGGTGATCCAGTCCATGTGTCTGTGCTGTTTGTTGCAGAAGAGAAGCCAGGTGGTCTTGGACGGCACGACGCTGACGACGCCTAACCTGTCAGTTTTTATTTTGGGTACCTAGAGAGCACCACAAGCCCACCAGAGAGGTGGTTCAGCAGTTCGTGTAAAGCAGCTTGTTGGGTGTGATCTCGCAGGACGGTGGCAGTTGGATGAAGGGGCACGCCAGGTCAATCACCCCATTGGTGGAGTCGGCATGCAAGGCTGCCTTGACTGAGATGGACATTTGAGCCGAAGTTAGTGCGCACTGATGATCGTAATCTTGGGTGGGTGCTTATGGATGGATTGATGGTACCTTCAGCAGGGCTATACTTGGGGGACTGGCTGAGCACAAGGGCGGCAACGCCAGCAACGTGAGGGGATGCCATCGAGGTGCCAGTGAGAATGTTGTAGGTGGCGTTGGGTGGCGAGCCTCTCTGATCAATCCAAGCGGACTTGATGAGCTGACCGGGCGCCCCAATGTCGACGCAGGAGCCGTAGTTGGAGGACGCCACGCGGCAGTCCTGGGCAGCTCCGGTCTCTTCATTGGTTCCGATTGTAGTGGCCAGTACAGTGATCGCCAGGGGTTCGCTGGAGGGACTGAAGTCACAGGCGTCCGTGTTCGTATTGCCAGCAGCAACGACGACGGTCACTCCACTCTGGACAGCAGCTGGCGGGTCGCATTTTGGTGAACATGAAGGCATGCACAGAAATCAGAGTGAGTGTTGGTCGGTACCGGCCACTGCGGCATTCGTAGCGCTTGACTTCCCACTACCGACAGACACGTTGGCCACAGAAGGGCGTCGACGCCTTCGCGCCTCGTTAACAGTCCACTCGATCCCTTTCAGGACAGCTCCGTTCTTGCCCAATCCATTGCAACCAAGCACTTTCACCTAGAGCACGTTGTGAGAGCATGGTCAGTCAACGTCAACAAAAGCCACGCCAAAACGTCTACGCCTATCGATATGATCGTACTGCTATCACGGTGGCATTCTTGGCGACACCGTAGAGCGCACCTGCAACAGTGCCGGCAACATGAGTACCGTGCCCATTGCAATCAGTGTCGATCCCGTCCTCCGCCAAGTTCACAGCCCACTCTGCTCTCTTTCCAAACTCGACGTGGGTCGTCAGAATCCCCCTGTCACATACATGAACAACGTTGGATGGTAAGGTGGTAGTGGTAGTGTAGTAGGTTACAACGCTGGCTGGAGCGGAAAGGTGTGCGTACGTGTCGATGATGTAGACGTCAACGCCCTGACCGGCAGAGTTGTAGTTGTAGTTATCGTCAATCATGTCGATGCTGTGCGTATCAATACGATCCAAGTTCTGGATAGTGGGGGGTGATACACAGTGCAACGTTGGTACCATCGATGCTGCTTCAAGGTTCAACGGTTGCCATCACAGGTGGTGGGGTGGCCTTACCCAGATAACATCCTTCTGCAAATGGCACTTCTCTTCCTCATTGACGTGCATGATTTGATGCTCTTCAATAACGGAAACAGCAGGGTGAGTTCGCAGCTTCTGCACCATACTGCACTCACCACAAGTGGCACGAACGTTAAGAAGTCAAAAGGGCAATGTGTCTAATACAGACAGGAGACGTGGTACGTACGCGGGCGAGAGCTTGGCGGAGATGGCGCGGAAGCTGTCGCGATGACGTGCACGTTCTTCACCTCGCTGCCATCAGTCGCGGCAGTGAATGC